CGTGCAATTGCCGTGGCCCGTACGGGCTGCAAAGTGATTTCGTAATAATTGTCTAGAAAGCACCAGCTCCGGTGGTTTGCGACAACGCATTAGCAGGTCCAGCTCACAATACCGTGGTGGGCAAGTTTAATTCCACCAATTGTCTGGCAAAGCCTATTTTTGGCGATGCATTTTTTGATTTAGAAATACCGTTGTGATGGTTGCTCGCCGAGTTTCCACACTGGGAATTGTTCGAAGGACGGATCTGGCTGCTGCGTCTGCTTCCTCATTTCCAATTATTCCCGAGTGCCCTGGCACCCACTTTCTTCTTACCTGAGCTAGCCCAGATCGTTCGCGAAATCCTCGTACTTTCTCGTGGCTGGTCGAGAACTTACTCGTGCTCAGTGCATTTATTGCTTGACAAATATCCATCATCACACTCATGCAATGCATCACTCCCTTCAGTTGCTCTTTCTTCTGTCTCAGGTCACCCAGTGCTGCTTTAAAAGCTTCCTGTGCCATCGTAATCTCTGCGACTAAAGCCTGTCTACCGTGATTAATGCAACTTCCTTTTAGGAAAGTCTTTACGTCCATCTTAAGGACAAGCCCCCAAGCTGAGCGTCCATTTCCTTTCATTGATCCGTCCGAATACGCACAAATTTCTGACTTTGGCACCGTAGTGATCTAACGTTTACAGGCTTCTGTTTTGTCTTTACTTGAACCAGCTTTCGAAACTGGCCGCGATTGGTAAGATGGGGAGGTAAGAGGTTTCGCGGCCTCAGCTTCTGGTGGCTGTCTACAAGCAATCTGAGCCCGTGACATTTGAATTTCAGGACGCGCAGATTTTCGATTGTGCTTCTAATATTTCCACATGTTGACTTTGGGCAAACTGCAGCACGTATCCTGAGCGGATGGTGGTCATCAAGTGTTTGCATCCTAGCAGAGAGGCGAAGTTGGTTTCCTTCTAGTAAGATTTTCCCGGTTGTTATTCCTCCTTCTCTATGTAGTACGGCGTTAGGTGTAGTTCTCATTACCAGCAGTGCCGATCTAAGACCCAATAAGACAACCTTTTAAATCACGCTTCATAGGCAAGCAGTGGGTGGTGCGCCTATCACCTTTACCTTTGGGCGTCTAAGGCTAGACCACCAAACTTCTACTCCGTATGTTGCAATTGGAACAATGCACATATCGCTTGCTTTAATCAACGCCCTAGGAGTGGCTCCTGGGTAGACTGTGTTGAAGTGACGCATTTGCTGTGCAATTTTCAAGGCTTTGGCACACTATGTCGGACGTGGTGTTTGAAGTTTACCCGTGGAATCCGGCCACCTTTTCCACGGAACCTTTTAAACCAAAAAAAAAAATAAAGGAAGCAATTGAAACTACGTGCGCGGGAAATGTCTTAAAAAACCTACAGCCCCAGCCAGGAGAGGTCTAGACACCGGGGTCAGATGAGGTGCGCATGTTCATCTTTATCTCCCTTTTTTGTAACATTCGAGTCCGACTTGATCCAATCTACCATCGCCGTGTCGGGTGCTGAGTACACTCTAGAAGCTCATCGGATGGATTGCCCTCCATGATCAATGGTGAGTGATATGTAGGGCTTGGATCCTACCATCTGATCTGATGTTGGTCAGCTTCATGATGATGGTTATAGAGGAATGTGCTGAGAAATGAAGATAATGCAGACGACGAAATCGATTGGAAATCCTCATCAGAGTGAGGACTTGGTCACTCAATATCGGCCCTGCAGAATCTACAGTGAGAGCTAGAGGTTCGTAGGGGACACCGCTGATTGGTGTTGAGAATTGTCCCCATTTTTGCATCAGATTTTATCTGGGCATGCAGCTTTCTAGCCATGACACAATATCAGAGAAAGAGTACAAAATCGATGGCTCAATTTAAAGGAAGAGCACTCATGCCTCGGGTCTCATTTGTAAGTACCACTGCGAAGTTATAGTGGCTTTTTCTTCACTCCAAGTCAGCCCTCATCCGAGAATACTCACCCAGGGAAATGTCTCAGAAACCCTAAGTTATCCAGATATACCTCCGTCATCTGTTAACTTTTCTCCGCGCGAAGTGCAATCTTGAGCATCTCCTTCCCAAGTGGAGTAGGTGCCCCGGCTACTCAAACTATACCAGAGAACACCACCAGGAGGCAGATCACAACACCTCCTATCGTCGGCTTGTTTTTATAGTGTCAGCTGCACTCTCGCAAGCGAAGTCTTGGCGCGCACAAAGCTCAATCTGTTGAACTTGTTGCCAAATTTCAAGCCCTATGAGACTATATCCATCCTCTGCATCCTCTGCATCCTCTGCATCCTCTGCATCCTCTACATCATCTTGTCCCGATCTCTCTCTCGTCCATCCCAGAACACTGTCTCCCAGATTGTGCGCCAGGCTTTATTTCCTCCGTCGGGTGTAAATATCGGCGTGGATGTGTATTTGGTGACCAGCTGACGCCAGAGAAATTCGACGAGAGGTGTGGTCATTAACATGAGGATGTTCTAAGTCGTACTTGTAAACTTGATAGGGTGTTGGTGGGGATTGATCTTGCGGGGTGGAAGAAGTTGATTTGGTGGAGAGTATTTAATTATTGCCTCTTGGGCCAAATTCTTCGATATTGCAACATCTAACTGAACTCGGCTTTGGAAGAATGTTTCACTCTCAGGTTTGTAGAGGACACAGCATACATGTGTTCAGTCTTTGCCCTCCGTATTGGCGCCTTCATAGATTAGAATAGATTTTATTATAGTTCTTATTAAATAAATAATGACCCCTCAGTCATTGAGGTTGTAGAGCGCATTGATTCAAGTAATTACCAAATTGAAACTAAGTACAGAATTTTCAGTCACGTGTATATTAGCAACGTGTCCCACTTGATAGCCCAAATTATTCTAAATTCTAATAGTTCTGTATGAGTCTATGACTATGGAGAACTTCTAGAATTTACATCAAAGAAACTACATATTTTTAGTTTATTTTGTCGTAAAAATCTGAGTTCATAACTGCACACACCTTCAGGGGATAACTGTGCACCAGCAAAGTTAACCCCTTAGAATCTGATCACTATTGCCTCCTGGTCGCTACACACTAACGTCAACGTGTTCACTACAATGAGGACCCCATCGTAGTTAATCTAGCTTTCATAGACAATAACATGTTGAGGAATAAGGGTAGGAACTCCTGTATATAGATAGGGCCTTTTTACTCTCAGTATCTATATCCATCATCCACAAATACAAATACAATTCACCATCAATCAATCATCTTACTCTGTCCAAGTGATCTATTGAATTCTCCCATACCTATTAGTATTCTATTCACAAGGTGACGTCTCCCTATCCATCGCCCTCAGCCTTTCAATATATTTAACATAATAAACTTTACTTATTATCTCTTAGACAGTGAGAGCCCCGCCTTTGTAAACCCAACATAGCAAATAAAAGCCAGCATCTTATCATCCAGTGCTTGAAGATTTGATTTTTCATGCATGTCAGCCTATCATCGAGCCTTATGATCCACAGGAGGTACGAAAAGGAATTGAAATACAAAGGAAGAAATTAATTACCTCAATTTAAGGTTCTCTAGCTTTTTGTTTCGTGATTCGGCCCGAATCAATCCCGTAATTGTGCCTTTTCAAATATATTTGTAACACGTAACCAGCCATTAAATGATTAAACTTTTTCCGCTGAATTAGGGTCCCTAGATATATTAGGGGTGAGATTGCGTGCCCTCTCAAACCGCGCCTAGCTCTGCACGAAGTGGGGGAACGAAACTCAACACCTGTCAGTGTTATCTTCTACGAGTCCCCAGATCTTCCTGAAGAGCCTATACAGTCGAAATTGAGAAATGATTTCCGCCTTGTGTCGACAGGATTCCCAATCGCTTTCGCGGTCATTACATTCTTCATTTGTCGTCACATTTCTCTTGCTGCGGAATTAAGCCTTTGGGTTTGTACTGTCTGCGCTAGTACGGCAGGGATGGAATATAGGGCCTGGCCAGCTACGGGGGCTACCAACGTTGCGGACTGGACGTGGTTGCTTAGCAACGTTGATTGTTATGATCGGCGCTGATTGATACCATTCCCTATGTATATAGCGAGAAGTAGGATATTGTATATCTCCGGATTCTATTTATCGACTGATTTTTTTATGGACTTGCTGTGCTGTATACCAACACCAATTGATCAGGCGACACTCCCAACACCATTATCATGAAGCTTACCACGATCGGATCAGACGGTACGGTCAGAGCCCTACTCATCACCAACCCGTGATCATGGAGGAAAAGCCATCCGATGAGTTTTTGGAGCGTACCCAGCACCCGATACGGCGATGGTGGGTTGGATCAAGACGGCCCCTAATGTGTAAAATAACGGAGATGTAGATTAATTTGCGCACCTCATGTGGTCCCGGTGCCTAGGCCTTGCCTGGCTGGGGCGGCAGGTTTTTTAAGACTTTTCCCGCGCACGCAATTTCAATCGCTTCCTTTTTTTTTGGGTAGAAGGCTCCACAGAGAAGGTGGTAGGATTCTACGGGCAAATACTGAGCTGAATGGCTTTTCATTTTGGGCAATATATCAATGATCTTACAAGTGACAAAGGAGGATAGGAGCACTTTACAAGGTGTGGCCTGGACCAGAGAGGAGCCCTATGCGCTAGATAGTCATAGAGTCAAGTAGTACAATAAAAAACACAGTCACTTAATCAATGACCGAGATGACAACAGTGAAAGTGGCTGGGTGACTTCCCTTCTCCGCATGGTTAGTTAATGATGTTTTGGTACGTCGGGCTGTCTGGAGAGACTAAGCTAACCGGCACATGGCCTCTAGTCTCGTGACCCTTAGTATCATGATGATTGATTGTAAACCGAACGAAATCATAATGTATTTTCCAGAAACTCTAAATTTATTGCACAATGATCTAGTGCATACATTGGTAATGATTCCTGTGTAAGAGAGCAATTAAATCTTGTATACCATTATGATAATAAGCCATAAAATAAATCTTCCAGATACGAGTAATGTCTAGAAGACAGGATGAAACTATCTCTTTATCAGAAGCAAACGCAAATTATGTCGCATATGAAGACATCTCGCGCGCATTGAGCTCTTACCCCGACACGATACTTGAGATCGAATTACTCGGGAAAAGCCATCTACTCCCACAAGGGACTAGTCTTCTGCAGGATGGCCATTGTATAGCTGTTCCGAAATCTAAGCTGCTACAAGCTTTTATCGTTGCCCGAAAAATCTTTTTCACGATTCGTCAAAATGGCAGGCTGGACGAAGAGCAAAACTTGCGGCACGCCACAGCAGTGATATTATTGCTCGACTCTGAACATCAAACGGCTGCTAACTCGCGAAAGAGACTCATACAGCTACAAATGAGAGAGGACCGGGGAAAATCTAGGGCTATCTTGGAAGCAGAATTATGTTGGGTAAATGGATATTTAACATCACACTTACATCGGCACACAAAATCGCCTGTTCTGTGGGGGCATCGTAGATGGCTTGTCGAGCAGACTATGTCTTTAGGTCAGAAGCCTAATATCTTACAGGACTTGAAAATGGTTGTTTTCAAGGCTGCAGAGAGACACCCCCGAAACTACTACGCTTGGTCTCACTTGCGGTGGCTTCTAGACCATCAATTGGATTCCGGAAACTCTGAAAATAGGTGGTCAAAATTCTTTCCCGATTTCCAAGAGATAACCACTATTGTTCAGGATTGGTGTTTGAATCATCCATGGGATACATCAGGGTTTTCATTCTTATTATTTTTTCTGACCAGATCCGAGTCAAAACAGCTCATGATTTCAGTCTTCTCTGCCATCTTAAAAGTCACAATCGCCTACAATTGGGCTTATGAGTCTGTCTGGATGTTTCTCCGGACTATGGCTACATTAGATGAAGTGGATTTTGGGGTAGAAAGAACAATATCTGCAATCCAGGAAATCACTCTTGCCCAGCCAGATACAGTAAACTCTCTGCAGAATGTACAAAAATGGTTATCGAAGCAAAATCGATAGATGTATAATCTGTCGTAAGTATGAGAGGCTTCATACTTTAAGAGCGCAGATATACATCAATGATGAACCCTGAATCCCCCGGAGTCGGATGCTCTAAGAATTAGCACACCCAGTGAACGCAATGTCGCCAATTTCTTCGAAATTTCGAGATTAAATGTTAATTGCTACATAGTCTTCTGAATTTTCGAATACCAGCCCTTTGCGTGCGCGAATTTCAAACATATCAATCGAAAGTTTATGCGAACTTGTCAGCTTCTCACACTTCTTTTTATTTTACGTGCGCACTTCGAGCAGGACTATCACATTACATCCATCCATTTTCCTCGTAAGCACGCTTCATACGAGAGGTTCAGGCGTTTATTTAATGAAATAGACATCGATTCCTATTTCTCGTTCTAGGATTCCAAATTACTCGAGACTGGTTGGGTGGATAGAGAAGAGTTCAAATGGATTTAAGCTGGTGGCAAAATATCTTTTCACACACTACTTGATCTTCTCGAAAAATCACCAAGTATTCCTGTACCGTCTAACGCACCAGCAGTGCGTTTTTTACCTGCGTCAATAAGTTACATGGCTTGGTAGTTTTAGTTTTAGTCATCAAAATAATCTTGATTGGATATAGTGTTTGAACTCTTTTCAGTAATTTACGTGGTCTCTATAATCGAGGGTCTTGTTTGTGCGCAGGTTATATGTGTATAGATGTTGTGGGAGTTGTGGTCCCCTATAGGAAAGATACTGATTTATGCAAGAATTAGATTTATTTGCGGGCCTGATTATTTCTTCGTGAGGAAGGAATGTAAATGGGATTAACAGAATACCGTTGAAAGGACACTGCGCAGCGTAAGCTTAACGACTGTTGGCTAGACCTCATTGTACACAGGGCCATGGCTCTCTTACGCAGCACCTATTTCTATGCTAGATAACCATGGACTCAAGTAGCAAAACAAATACCAAATTCTACTTCATGGCCCTGATGGACCTGTGTTGTGGAGAAGGAAATGACGATTGCATGTAAACAGCATTAGTAGCAAAATCGTCCTTAGACTCTTAATCAAGACGCAGTACTAGACTAGAGTCGAGGCTCACCTCTTGAATGTTATGATTATCGCATTTACTCCAAGTTTATCTCTGCCAAGTGTCAGGGCTACAGTACATCTATGCGAGTACTGCACAGCCCTACATGGCCATCATTGCAATCGATTATTGCGGCGCAGCTCTACACAATGGCATAGAGTAACGTGGGATAGTATGGCTTGGAATTAGGATTGTAGTACTTCCTGCATAGACGGTGATATACGGTATTGTGGCTACCAAATATGTGTGCATAAGTCCTGTCTACCACCGCGATGTGTAGATGATCATAACTAAGCTATTCCCCTATCATCGAGCTCCGATAATCTTCATCCACCTTTCTCTGCCATCTCTAGCCTATTCAACATTGCCTACCTACTCATCCCTCAATCATAACTTTAATTCCCTAGAGAAGGGTAAAGACTGAACACCTGCACGCGGTATCCTATACGATCCTGAGAGTGAATTTTCCTTCTAGAGCCGAGTTCAGTTACATGTTGCAATACCGAAGAATTTGGCCCAAGAGGCAATGACTAAATACTCTCCACCAAATCAACTTCTCCCACCAACATCCCGTCAAGTTTACAAGTACGACTTAGGACATCCTCATGTTAATGGCCACACCTCTCTTCGACCTTCGATAGCCTCAGCTGGCCACCAAATATATGTCCACTCCGATAATTACACCTGACGGAGGGGGTAGAGCGTGGCGCACAATCTGGGAGACAGTTCTTTGGAATGGGCGTGAGAGAAATCAGGGAAAGTTAGCAAGATGATGGCGAGGATGGATACAGTTTCAAAGGGTGTTACATTTTGGTTTTTGGCAAGGAATTTTACGAATAGAGCTTTTCGCGTACCAAGACTTCTATTGCGAGAGTGCCGGCGACACTATAATCACTGCCATGGTTTGATGGTGCCGTGGTACATCGTCTTGGCCGGTCTGCCAAGTACAGTTTCGATAGCTTCGACACATATCCCACTCGAGACAGGAGATAGCTGCTTCGAATCCAGCGAAACACAACCACTTTTCTCGCGGTGCAAGCTTACATGAATGACGAAGGTTTGCTTGAACAATCAAAGCTTCTGAAATTCCCTTTCGTCGCTACCCACGGAGGAGAGCCGGCTGTTTGTGCATGCAAACATACCTCATTGTCATATCTGCAAATGAAATCCAGCGTATGAGTGTCTGGCGCCAAAAGAGTCATTCAACATGTACACATAGCACTGGTCCCGCGTCGTGGCTAGATAGCTGAACACGCATTAAATGATTTAGAAAATTGAGTCTCCAGTATGAGCTCGTCTCAACATCAAATTCCCCCAATAAAAGCACAGAGAGGGAAATCAAAATACAATATCATGTTTGAGCAGCAAAGGTTTAAGCTGGCGAAGAGATGTACAAGCGACTCTGTCAATGATGGTAGATTCTATACCCAAGCTAAACCAACTGACGTCCAGGCAGATCGCCTGGCGGAACGGGCTCTACTGGCGACAAACGAGAAGCTTACGTGGACAACATTTAATATATTGCGTGTGATCTCGGCACTACAACGTAACCATGACGGCAGAATATGCATCAAACTGTGCGTCGACCGAATATTCGTCGGGTGGAAATGCCTTATGAGATATTCTCATACAAATATTGGCTCTTGTTTCGGTCCTAGTCAGTTCCCTAGTTGATGTCAATGAGGACGAATCGCCACAGTGGATAGGTAAAAAGCTTGTAGGCAGGAAGCTCCGGCCTCCTGCCACGACGTCACGACCCAGCTCAATATTGAAGGGGTGCCTTTGCACTCACAATCCATGATTACTCTCAAGAATTCCATCAGCTAAACTACACTCAGACAAAGTTGGAAGAGGCGCCTTCTCGTTCAGCCCTGGTCTCCAAAGGTTCGAAGAGACGACCCCAATGTTCTTGCTTCTGTAGAATCAAGGGTATGCCGCTGGGGCTACGATGAGGAAGCAAGAGCTACGGACTGAGCAATGGTAATCTCTGGCCGCTAGTGGACAAATGCAGAGTCGCCATCCGAGGGTATAAAATGTGATATATATAGTGTAGTTGTCGATAGATGAGGGGCTAGTTATCCTTCTGCTTAATTGAGACTTTGATACTGACTGTGAGAATTCCCGTTTTAATAACCAATATATATGGAGATAAACACAATTGTATATTCTATGATTCTGGACTCACCGGTTGGCCAAGTGTTGGTACAAGTAGTGTGTACGTGATGTGGGATGCTAATCTTTTGCCTTAATACCATCCCTTTGGTCCTTGTCTCTGATCTGCTGTCAACATGCTACTCTCGTGGACCCCAATTAATAGAAACCCGACTGTATACATTGTGCGCTGTTGATTGGCTCACGTGGTGCGGGGGGAATATAATAATAAATTGACGATGCTGATTTACAGAGACCAATTCACGTATTTTTTAAACTCAAGCTCCACTCACATATTATTGTCGATTAGTCGGAGCCATGAGATACCTGCGTGAAATCATTTTCATCATAAAGCGACCAACTAAAATCCACACTCTGACATTGATAAACCCGTTGGTCACGAGCGATAACAATCTCACCTAAACTGATAGTAACCACGACGACCTCCCTCCTAGCACGACCCAGTCCCCTCTCTAGTCTGCCAGTCCGACACACTACCTCTTGCCAAGATCCGTTTTCCTTGCCGTACTTGGCGCAAGGGCCGCTTTCCTTCCAACAGTCCCAAGTTTGATGAGTACCCGCGCACTCATCGCGTCGATTTATATCTCCGAGCTTCTTCCACGCGTGTCCGCATTAGCTGAAGTCGAAGTACTGCTTTGCCTGAGCCCTGCATACTTTTCTTTTATTTCTCCCTTCCGTTTCATCCTAGCATTGCCTCATTCCAACGTCTCTAAAATTTTCCAGGGTTGATTTCTTCGCCGGAGGCCTTGTCCTATAGCCCGTCGACTCCCCCGCTCTGCTTCCCCATTGGTCCTATATTAATTTAGAATCTGTCCGCCAATCTCTACATATAGAAACTTGATTACTGATCATCCCTCGGGCCTTGCTCCGTCACTGCCGCGCCCCAAACCATGGAGGCTGAATATATGAAAGGAGCTTAAGATCGAGGTAACGATGCCCCTACCTTTATCAGATGTCTTGTTTAATACGTTAGCGAAATGGCTGGCCCATTTCTTAGTGATACTTCGTCAAATTCCAAGCTGGTGGAGCTCACAGCAAAGCGTATGGGCACTCAGAGCATATATTTCGATAGTAGCTTATTTTTTTGCATCGTTTAACTTGTTTGAGCTATCTAGCCATGATACATGATTGGTTCTATGCAAACGTGTCGCTTGACTCTTTTGGCCTGAGGGACACTCATACTCTAGATTTCATTCACGAATGCCACTGAGGTATATTTGCTTACACAAACATACGACTCTCCCGACAGTATTTTGATTGCGTACGGAATTTGCAAAGGCCGAGAAATCCTTCTGTATCATAGAGCGATTATGAGTTTTGGTAGATGCTGAGATGATTGACTTTGGGCCGCGAGATGTGAGGCTTAAAAGTATCTTTGGGATAGATCAGGGCGGTAGAGGTTGTTTGTTCTTGTGATTCAAATATCAGACATTTCTGGGCCTACATGCAGTTGTGAAGCCTTTTTAGGTCGTCTTTTCGATCAATAGCTTTCCAACGCCATCTACACTAGAGCCCTCAACTCACCTCCTGTCGTGACTGGATCTTGACTGTAGAGGAATATCACACCCACAGGCACACGGAGAACACTTTTAACCTATGTTCAGCTCTCTTAATCAGCCAAAATGTTTTGTTGGAAGCGCAGTTTTACTCTACTACGTTTTGCCCAATTTAGCGCGCCTTCAAATCCACGCAAACATCTATCATTTTATTTAAATCGAGGATAGTTTATCAGCCGAGGCGGTATTGCGCCTTTCAATCTGACATCTTTGAATTTCATGAACACGGCTTAGGCGACGCAGTAGTACTCTCGTGCCGTCTGTTTTTATCAGTCACATTTTTTTGTATTCTTAATCTATGCTCTTCTCGTGTCTCTTCCTAACTAGCATTCTGACCGCACTGACCGAAAATTGCTCTATTCAACCAAATTCTGATGTCCACTGTATAATCTCTTTTATGTGACCAGGCTTGTTTATTATTGTTTCGAAGGACTGATTTTGGGCCTTTCTCGGCACTTCTAACATTAGACCACCGAGGCCAGGGCATAATTATGTACTTGAGTTTCTATGGGCGGCAGACTCTTGGAGCTTTTCTTCTTTTAACCTTTGAGTTGAGACAAGGTTGGTCGCTTCGAATTTGCGTTGTCAAACTTTTCGAGGTCCTTGTTGGGTTTCAGCGTAGAAATATAGCAGGTTCCTGGACACTTACTTTACACCCTCCCAAGTGTCGGCTTCGATAGAACTTGGCTGCTCTCCAGCATTCGAGTTCTGCGATGGCGAGTTTTTGAGGCTGTTCGATCCACCCAATGTAAGACCAGAATTTCGCCCTTTATTGGTATGATGTGCTCTTTGCCACTTGTTTCTGCTGTATTTAAGATAAATCCGACCCATATACTTCTGCCCAGCGGGCTAGGTAAACTCTTCTGTTGTTTGCTCGAATATTATCTCTCAGTGTCCACCAAAATTGCCTGGCTTGTGGATGACGCGGACATTCTATGGTGAATCTATCACTTGAGCTTTATTCTTCAAAGGGCTACCTGATAGTGGTCGGCCGAATAGACTTGGATAGGGGATCTCTTGGCCGGCACGGGACGAGCGTTCAAGCTATGTACGATGTTATACCATCAAGCCATTCGGCCTAAAGACACGACATGTTAGTTGACTGACTGATGTCATTATCTGGGGTAATCGACGCGTATCGGAGACAACGTCCAGTGCCGCCGATAAATGGTGGGTGGGTAATTGTACAATTGCTGCCGCCCACCTAATACATCAAATTGGACTAGACGGCAGCCAGAGCTGCGAGTTTTAAGCCCTCTCGGCCTGTGCTTGGTGTTAAAATGGACACAGATACTAATTTGGCCCCCAAATATAATTTCTCTGAAAACTTATCATCTCTTAGATTTTTGATAGAGTCCAAGAAGAGCCTATTCACGCCAGAAGTCACAGTAGCAATACTCGTTGTCCTCACAGTCCCATTACTACTTCATCTTTTCATTTTTCGCTCCGCCAACCGTAAATCCCTTCCGTCCATCGTGCTTCTCGGGCCATGCGATTCGGGCAAGTCTTCTCTCTTGGCTTTGGTATGATAATAGATCTCTACACTGTTACCCCTTTCTAATCTTTCCAGCTTGAGGGTGCGCAAAACGTGAGGACTTATACGTCTCAGCTTCCAGCGACCGTTGAACTTTCCCTCCCGGACGATAGAGTAGCCGGTTCAACCAAGTACCGCTCCATCAATGATCCCACAAATCTTACCTGTCGAAAATTCAGCCTCACCGACACACCGGGACACGGTAAGCTGCGATACTATGCGCTGGAGAAAATTAGCGCGCCGCAAGCACTGAGCGGGGTTATCTTCATGGTGGACGCAGCTTCGCTGAAAAGTAATAATGAGACCTTACGGCACACGGCAGAATATCTTCATGATTTACTATTGGCCTTGAAGAAAAGGGCCGAGCAGATGAACACCGATGTCACTATACCAGTGCTAATAGCCGCGAACAAACTGGACCTCTTCACTGCTCTGCCCGCTCCGCTGGTGAGGAAGACGCTCGAGGATGAAGTCAGCAAAATACAGGCCTCGAAATCAAAAGGCTTACTCAGCTCGGAAATGGACACGAACGAGGAGGGCATGGAGGAGAAAGAAGACTGGATTGTAGAGAAAGGAAGCTCGAATTTCAAGTTTTCCCAACTGGAAGAATTCGGTATTTCACTCGAGGTTCACGGAGGTCACATTTCTGGTGATAAGCCCTCTATAGACCACTGGCTAGTATGGATTTCTGAAAGGCTGTAGAATTCCAATGAGTTATCTGATCGCGGATCTCCTTGATGTTTTCACTTTGGTTCAGGTAGTGGGATTGGGATGACTTGTCTCGTCTACTTGACGTAATCTTCATTGTTTCACGTTGGTCGCGAGCATCGCTTTCTCACAAATTCCCAAAACCCTTAGCATCTGACGCAGTAAAAACTAGAGGCATAGTCTCAACCATAATGCCTCTTCCAAAACTAGAGCTTTATCAATACAGTCACGCTTTCTCATCACTTGGTGATAGCCTGAACCATATTGAACTGTTAGCGCCATTCCACATTGTTGATTAGGCCTCCATTTGCCTCTGTATAAAAATAATTAATCTATATGAATCTGAAATACTAGCCCTCGATTTAAATTTTGTCATCTTGATAACTTACTATCAAGAAGCATTACATTCATACCCGTGTCTGCATATAATCGTCTTTAATCAATCCGCCAATGGAATGGCTCTTCTCCACATATTTAGCGCTTGTTAAGCAAATCATCCTGTTCCCACCACATCGCACTTTTTTTTATAATTACTTCCTCATTTATGTCCACTCTGAGCTAATAACTATGTAGGACAAACTAATTAGAGATATCACAACTTTTACATTCTCAAATTGGACTTCCATAAATGAATGGTTATTGCGTTCCTAAAGTCGTGAGGTACCCGAGTGCGAAGCAGCTCAATAAATATTCACCAAATTCCATACATATTGAAAGATTCTGTGGCATCTAAACACCGAGTGGCCAAAGCGCATCACGTCTCAAGGTGATTATAAGTAAGAGTATAGCGAAAACATCGCGTGAGTCAGCTCTCTCAATCTTATCACCATTATTTCACCAAGTACTTTTGGCAGGTCATTAATGGCGGAATCCAATCTACATACTATAGGCTGAGAGGCGCCGTCATCAATAAATGCATCTGAATTTTACCTCATATTTCCACATGACTACTAGTCTAACTTACAGCAATAATTTTTGATCAACTAATCGCTTTGCTACTAGGTCTACAAGTTTCACAATCTTTTATTTGCTGAATTCGAAAAAGCTTTGTACGAGGTGAAGGAAGCATTTGCCAATCTTCTATTAGTAGATATGATGGCTAGTGATAATAAGTAGATCTTAAAGATAGTTATGTTTACCAGTCTAGAGGTTTACTGTACGGAAGACATTAGACCTAAAGAAAATTGTAGTAATGTAATTATAAATGAATTTATCTATTCAACAAAAGTACATCGGCTCAGGTAATTAAAATAGATTCCATAACCTCTTTAACGCTGCTATGTCCTTCAATTTTCACCATTCTTTTTTGGCTTCATAAGGTGTTAATGTAAATGGGAATATTTCTCAAAACCTTTGATTAGCACTTTTCTGGAGACAGCTGCACGAAAATGTCTGTCAATCTCATTCAAGGTGAGGGCACACTCCTCCTGCGCCGCAACTTTTATACAGCACCAAACTCCTCCGAAACCTTAAAAATCTCATAACGCCAGGTAATATATCACAAAGCTAAAATAACTGAGAACCGCTAACATTCTCTTCATTCTATTAGATCAAAAGATATGAAAGTATTTATCTTCTGGAAATCTTATCTGGGGAAATGCACATGCAATTTGATATCCAGGATACTAATCGGACTTCTTATTGAATTTCAAGTTTTTTTCAAAGGTATCCACCTATATCTGAATTTTGCAGTAATTTTGAACAATTTTCCTTGCAGAATATCGCTGTACATTGAGGACTACAGTGTTTATCTGGAATTTTTGTAGCCAAAGAAGGGGTATGATCGTCCATGGTAGAGAGAGCTGTCTCTCGATCAGAGGAATTATTTCCAGATCCATCATCATCGTGTTCTGAGGTAGTCTCCTCCGGACAATATTTTGCTAGCTTCTGAGTTATATCCCAAAAGTTTGCGGATACAATCGAGCTCACTGTGGCAGTAGAACCGTTTCGTTCGTGAAATGCATAAGGTTCAGCCAGTGCAGAATGATAATCATCGTCAATACTAGCTGGAGAGCGAGATGCACCATAAGAGAAACGACTAAATTGCGTCCGTTCCTCGGGTGAGAAGTTTTGTAGTTCGGAACCAAAGTTGATGACTGATGCCTTTTTACCGTGAACAACAAAGCTCCCAGTGCCTCTAGAAAGTGTCTCTTCTTTGTCTTGGTCAGTGATAGTTGTACCCGACGAATAGTCTCTACTCTTTCGACTCATGCTGTGTAATGTGAGATGAGGGTCTCGCATTGCACGGTGGAAACTTCGCCTCTTCTTCCCACGCTCGATTCTATCTCGTTCTAATTTAATCTCTTTACTGTCTTTACTGTCAGAGCGATTCTCTGTGCACTGGGCTTCAATTAAATTTTCCGCGCCATCAAAGAGTCCAGCTTGCTCGAGAAGTGCTAGCTCAGCAGTATCAAAGTTGGAAGACGGTGCGCGTTGTGTATCACTCGATAAAGAGCTTAGTTTGGATTTAGATGAAACTGTCGTCGTGTTAGGGGTAGACGGTGCTATGAGTCCTGAAGATGATTTTTCTGGAGTTTCGGGTCCAAGCTCAAGAGAATAATCGCCCCATGATGCTAATGTTCCTTCGTAATATGACGCACTTTCTCTAGTAGGAGATATAGAAGAGTATCGTTTGTTAACATACTCATCGTTAGTTTTGTATATTTGAACAGGTGATTGAGAGCTCATAGAGTTTGACGTTGATAAGGAATTTTTCGATAATTCCATTCTTTCTAATACACAGGGCTCGTCGGATTCATTTTTACAGTTATTGTAGCTTTTTTTCTCCTCCTCTAAATCCATGACTAGAATCTCTTTGTGGCACCTAAGGCGCCAGATCCTGATTCTTCCCCATTTTAGTTGAGCGGCCATCCTACCGGCAGCTGCAATTATATTATCACGAGTTTTGGACTGAATTGGTGCAAGTATCTGAAGATGCCGTGCATTCCGTAATTGAGATTCAAGTTGCTTTTGTGCAGCGGAAAGTTTTAACTCGGCATCAGCTATTTTTTGCAGCATGATCTCTCGTCGGGCAGAGAGTATATCATGTGCCATTTGTGCATCAATCTTACCACAAGCTATAGAGACATCGCCAGCGGTGATTTGGGGTGTTTTTTCTGTCTCTTTTTGATCGTCCAGTCGGCGAATTCCTCGAGTGCGTTGGCCATCATAATTTCCACCGACAACGCCCCTCATCCGAACACCTGATGTTCGAAAGGCAGCTGCGTAGTTGAGTTTTGCGAGCCAATCATTCATTTCATACTCGTTGTCAGCTAGGAATGTTTCTTCGGAGCCTGCATGCCTAACAAAGAGAAAAGCATTTTTGTGTTTTTTATACCTAGAGTCTAATAGGGCTACTGAATCATCGGTTGACATCAGAGCATCTGGCTTAAACTGATCAAGAGGAGGCCTGAATGTTACGGGAGTCCCATCGTTCCCTTGCTTGATGTGTAATTCAAGCTGATGCATCAAGCTTTTGATCCAAGTCGTATTCCTGAAAAAGTAAAGCTGTGCACCTGTGAGAATGGCACCCCATTCCTGCCAGGGGGAGCGCGTCTTTTTTTTCTTTGTATCTTTACGCCAGAGTAGTCCGACTTTTGTTATTTTAATATCAACGATGCCAGCTTTTGCTTCATCAGGGTTATTGACTGTTTTATCTGACATAAATGCGTCAGGCCGAGATCGGGCAGATACTATTTGAAGTATGCCGGTTCTGAAGAAAGTTTTCTGAAGATCCGAGAGGTTAAGGGAGGGTGCAGATCCAAGATAACTGTAATGCTCCTCCATGGGCAAGAAATCTTTTAAGTTTGGCCTAAGAGCGTCTAGTTTGTTGTCAATGATGAGCGTGTACGGGTCGACTGGCTCTTTGGAGGGACGCTTCGAAGAATCACTGTTTCCGCTGAAGATCGATCTCTTTTTCATCTTGTGATGAATAATTCTCTCTCCATTTATGTCAAGGTCATCTTCGACATGAATAAATGGAGTATATGAAATATTATCGTAAAAACATTCAAGGATTTCATCGAAAATACCTTCTCCTCGGGTACTCTTGAGGTATTCGGACTTTTGCATCTTGTGTTTATTATTTTTATTGAAAACATCGGTGTGTAATATGAGCAATGAGAATGCTATGAAGTAAGCTTGGTCAGGAGAGGCATATATCCCGGGGTTACATTCGTGATACCTATTCGCGAACCCTTGAAGACATCGATCGATTTGCTGTGTTTCCTTAGGTAACTCTACTTCCATAAGAAGTTTACGGATTGCCATATCCATTGGGTCTCCGAAGAACCCAAACCCACGCATGTAGCTCCGTAATACGGCTTGTGAGAAAGGGTCATTACCCTTGGAAAGCACGCTTGCGACAACCCCTCTACTAACAGCTTCTTCAAGACGAATAAGGTATTTTGCAGGAGTATCATCCTCATTTCTCTCGGGTAGTATTACCGGTAGTTCTCGAGTTATTTGGACTGAGCTATTTTTAGGAGTATTAGAGCTTGGAGTAGAAAAAGTTGAACAAGATTTCGGAATAGATGCATCAGCGTTATGATTAGCTCGGTGTGAAAGTCCGAAAAACTCTCCGAGGCTTTTACGTCCGGTAGAGGAGGAGGTGCGAGCAGTTTGAAATAAGACTGTGGGGGTTATGTCGTCAACTTGCTCTTCGAGAGATGACTTTTTCGTAGAGTTTAAGGTAGGGGATCTACCGCGCAAGTTTTGTCGAGATCGGGTTGGAGAGGATTTGTTAGATGCATCACGAGCGGGTTGACTAGATGGAGAAGATGTCTTTGAAAGTAGTAAGGGAGAGGAGAGAGGAGAGACGAATCTACCTTGACCCAATGCATTTTCAACGAAATGTGAATTCTTCACGGCAACTGATTCTTTCTCTAATGGTTGAGGAGGTGTAGTTTTCATATGGCATTTGAACACTTTTCGATGGTTGTTCTGGCTACCTGACTTTTGAGGAAGATGAGGTAGATCAAAAAGTGGAGACGGCTTTCGGCGACGTGGTAAGCGGAAGAAGGTTGTGGTGGTATGAACAGTGTGCGTAGTTGTTGTTGTAGCATAGACGCCATTTTCTCCAGAGCTTACGTCGGACCTTGAAGAGTCAGACATTCGATTTATAGGCAGGGCCAAGGTGGAATTGGAATCGTCACCATATGGTGGAGGGCCAGATTGCGAGTTAGCTAGAGCGGCTTCAAATGGTACACAGGCAATATGTCCTATAGACTCCGTATTAGAAGTCTCTTCTCTTTGATAATCTACATCCTCTGGTTTGTTTGCCACTGGAGTCTGTGGTTGTGACTGAATGCTCAGATTTGATGAAGTGTGTCTAGAGAGCCTCATTAACCTGGATTTCTTCTTTCTGGAGCGACGATCAAACATTTGTTCGGTTACAGGAGCCGCCGTTGCGGTATTGATTACTGAAGAGTATGGATCAGTATGAGCGTCATTGCCCTCTGGAAGAACGACTAACTTTGCGGTACAGGTGGCGCAGTCTTTAGCTGTGCATGGAGGCGTGCTAGACGTGTTGTTAGTCATTGTTGAGAAATAATTAGAGCTTAGCTAACCCTTGGTTGAAAGTTGAGATTCTGATGCGTATCGTAATTTCAACTTCCTGAAATGCTTGTGCCTACAGTCTTCCTCGGGTACGAGCTTTGGTGAGCCTGCAGTGGACAACTTCTCGGCTTTTGAGTCCCTACTTGACATCTTGGAGTGATATTCCCTGCTAATATAACCGTCATCGGAACGGTTGTAAGATTTGCTATTGCTAGTAGAGATAGTGCCTATAGATTCTGTTGAGACTAGGCTACGTCGCCGCGATTGTGAATCATCCGATAACTTTTTGCCGCAAACTAGGCCTGAGACTTGAGGCATTATGAAGCCTTTGTTACAGAATCATTGATCGTAATTATTCGGATGAGGAATCCCAAGATAGTGGCGTTGTGATGGATAGATGTTATCGACTAAGCTGATACAACTTGATCAATCAGGGCCTTCGGCTGGTCAAAGCATTGAGAGATCCAGGCGGTTAGGAAGAGCATGAAAGTAAAGTAAGGTGTCGATAATTGTGAATAATGCTCTGAAATGCTATGTAAAAATCATAGTTTTCGCAATTAAAGCAAGGATTTCATGTTGGAAAATATGGTTGGTAGTTGCATCTTTAGACAATCATGTCGAATCCAAGGGGAGAGTTTAAGGCCTGCTTGCCGTCAACTGTACGGATTTGGGAGTGAAACAGTCTCTCAGAGCCAAGGTTCAAAAGTGTGCAGTTGTTGGGTAACGGAATCTAAGGTGAAGGATTCGACTGTTGGGTGCAGATGTAAAGAATTCCATCAGACACGTAAGTTTGATAGATTCCACAATCTTATTGATCTAGACTAGTCTACAAATACCTCGACTACATAACCAAGTTACGTGCAGGCCTGCGTGCACGTCATTTCACAACTCTATCTCGCTTTCCGCATCGGGCAATCCTTCCCAGTCTCTGATTTGAGATTTTACTGCCGCCATACCAGCCCTTGACTCGCCCATTCTACAAAGTAAACTGCATTGAAACATGTGATGGATTTTTTCTCCAGATCTATTGCAAGTTGGGCCAAACAGATTTACTGTATTTGGAAGAATTGACCGGCGCTCAGCCGAAACGATACGTGGTCGCTCTGACCTCGGTACTGTTAGCTCAACCTCTTTGGTTCAACAAAGATAAGATCGGATTGACAAATCGCAAAATGAGAAATTTAATTCTTGACAAAGCCTTGGGAAAATTGCATTAGCCTTGAGCCTTCTCATTTACACAGTGAACTACTACTCTTAGGAACTTTTGAGGAGCAGCTTATCACTGAAAAACTGGCGTATCAGCACATACAAGAGGAACAGACGTGACGGACTGCGCTGAAGTAAGATCACTGAAGACAAGTCATACGTATATGCAAAGGATTTTAAATGCAAGAGAAATATTATGAGAGATGCGTATAAGGTTTTCAAGTCTGATATTGGGTCAAGGGTTTTTGTATTCAAACTGTGCTAGAGTCGTGATCCATGGAGAGACTGCCTTGTGTAGATGAATAGAAATAGCAACTCGACTGTAAATCGAATAAATACCTGTGTACCTATTAATACTGGATGGAAGCTGATAATGAGTCAGACTCAAAGAAGCAATGAGGATAGAACTACACTCGTCAACATTGGTTGTTTTGTTACCTACAACACTCTTGATTTTCGATAAATTTTAATAGTCTAAAATGCACCTGAATATGGCTTTTCATCGGTCAGCCGAAAGGAGAGACAACGGGGAGATGATATCTTCTCATCGTATCTAATCGGAGATCTCTGTTTTGAGAAAGATAGCCATCGGGTATCCACCTGTTCAGCTCTGACACGTAATGTGTTTTGAAAATTTAAATTCACTCTTGATGCATCCTGTTCATGACTGTCCTGTTTGATCGAACACCTTCAAAGGTCATAAATTGATTGACAATGGCATCAAATTCGTGCTGCTTAGCTACTGCTAGCTACCCTTGATAAGTATTTACTTTTCATGTATCTCTTCCCACTTGACGCGGAGGAGCCGGGATATTTGGCGTTCAGATTGGAAACTAGATCGCCACCAACTTTTGTTATGCACTATCATGGTGTCGGGCCTCCAATCAAAATCAAACAGAAGTTGAATCCCCCCGGATCCATTCAAGTGTCACGCTAGTAGAGGCGGCTTCCTCGCCAACTGATGAAACACAAGCTGACTTATCACCGTGTTCATTTCAAGCATCAGCCATGGTCGCTAGTATCACAATCCCGTCTCAACTTTGAGAATTGCACCGGCTTCCTGATTGTGTGCATACGATTCGAAGAATTTCGGCGCCTCTTGGGCTACAACAACGTGCTAAATCATCCACCTTCACAATAAAGCCGCGCGTGAAGTTATCGGGATAGTATGAATTCAACTAAATATTACCAGTTCCAGACGAAACAGGTAGCCAGGCTGTTCAAAATCTGCTCGGACGACCGTTCAGAAATGCATATCTTAGTGCCACATAACTCTGGTTCGACGATCATATTTTTAGCTATATTTCTTATTCACACTTTAGACTTCTATTAGGGTAATAGATAAAGTGTCCTAGCTCCTCATCAACGATTAGGGGCTTGAAAAAGAGGCAATTTTTGCTACAGCACGCTATTCATGTGGATCTATGCTCTTATTTCTCCACGGCCGATGTTGTTGACTCAATCTCTCCCACATACTGAAGATTTTCGATCAAGCGAAAGAAATCAGCACCTTGAACCTTCTCGGCCTACTAGTAGCTTCATACACATTGACAACTCGATAGGTGATGCCTTGGAGCCTTTCTTTCTTGAATGAGAAGCATCTGGACTATCCATCCTAGCTACCTGAGCTGAATTCACATTGCAAACCACAAATTTATCTTGTGTGTGTAATTCATTCTATCTAATCCCTCAACAGTTGTGGTATGTAAATTGCCCTTCAATGCTGACATTCCTTCCCAGATTCAATCAACCTTCCTTCAAATACTACACCTGCTCTAAGCTTCACCCAGTCAATGTCCTAGTGTAATTCGAAACCTTGCCAAGTTAATTCTAACCAGGCCCAAACTCGCGCCAACAACAATTTCGTAGTCCCTGACAAGGACCCAAAGCAGTTTATCAATGCAAGTTCGAAGTGAGCACATGGCGCTCAACTCGTTTTTCCACAGAAGAAAAGTACTAGAAGTATGAAGTCTAGCTTGTCCATGTGGCTACTAATTGCAGAACCCAAAGTATGTGATCATGCCCTGCCTTCAATGGTCAAATCGTAGAGCCGAGATCTAGAGACAATCCAGAGATCGATCCTACGAAGCGATGATAAACAATCCTAGAGACATCAAAAGGATAACACAGTGGATCCTAAAGCATGTTTGGATTGAGCAAATCTAGATGACAAAGGCGGTCGAAATGCTGCTGAGGGAAAGAAACAGGTCAAGTAATGCTTGGGGCGGTTAGAGACGACGTGGTTGGTTTACATGGATGGCAATATAGTGTGACTGCGCTTCCTGAAGAAAATATGTGAAAACTAAAGACAACAAGCAGAAAGGTCGGGGGAGTTTTCACCATAAATCTTTCCTTCCGTGTAAGTACTACAGATTGTAGACACCTGTATGGGCCCATAGGGCGCTAAATCAGGATAAGGATATCAAATTCAAAATCCCATGATCGAGATTATCTCAGAGAACATATATCTAGATGCGCGAGGCCAAATCGATGAGAATTGTTATGACTGAAATCGCATCATTTTCTCTGTTCTTCTAATGATGTGAGGATCTTTAATTGATCTAGCCTTGTCGAGAGCGCATAATTTGACCGGTGGGAAGTCTTCCATCATCATTTCCTAGATCTTTAATGTTATCCATACGAATATGACTAAAACCTAGATCTGAAAGTATGTTCTTGACCCAACTTTACACAAGGCGAAAATGCCGCTTTTAAAGGAAGAATTTTATTATACCAAACGTTGTTAAGGCAGTTATAAAAGTCGTCTTTTACAGGGTGAGCCGCCTATCAGTTCTCAAAGAAAAAGCCCTTGAAGCAGAGCCAAAATTCTCTCTTCCTCGAACAGGCCCCATGCAAAGTCAAAATATCGCATTCCTAGAATTCGATGATTCATTAATAATGTTCGGGGGGACTCCTACAATACACGAGTTGCTAGAAACGCACATTCCCGTGATAATTTTTGCATTTGAAGCCAAACTGAATGTGATTAATATTTAACTCACAAACTTGGCCTTGTGATTCTTGCCCCACTTAATTTTTTTCATTGTAGAAGTTGATGGATTTTAGTTTAGGGAATCTAAGACTCTGAGCGTTTTAATTGGCTCGCGAGCCGACCAAAACGAATTCTTCACCTTCCAGTGGTGCCAGTATAATAGCTCAGTATGATCTGCATATCTGGGGCAGTCAAGAAAAATCGCATCTGAATCAAAGTCGAAAGCAAACAAAGCAAATCCATAATCGGCGACGACTCATCAATGTCGGTCTTGTTATTTTTACGGGAGTCCTCAACCTCTTTCTAACCACTAATCATCTCGCCTCAACGACCTGCAAAGGTGTCACCCTAATTGCTAATAGGAACTTGCTTTAGTAATTACCGGCTATCACCCACTACAAATTTACGACGCTTCATATATCCGCAAGGAGGAAATCAAGTCACAATATACAAAGATCGCGTCATGGCCTGTGTGGGACTTTTGCTTTAATGGGGTTACACATCTTGAGGAAGAACGGGCGGTTGAGATGTGGAGAGAGAAGGGGAACACGTCTCTGAAGACCATGCTGAGACTGTCATTTTCGGGGTGTTTTCGACTTAGGAACGTTTGTGGGCGTCAAGACCGAGATTTCGGCTAACTAGCCAGGAGAGATTCTTTTGTCGATGAGTCAACGGCATTCCCCAGAGCCCTGGATGGCAAGAAGAAATTGAGCTAAGCTACTGTTCAGCACGACCTTAAGGAAAGAGTTGGAAGGAGACTAGAAAGTCAGAGTATCCATTCCCCGAGGTAATCCCAAGTCTGCAGCCCTAGATAGGCGAGGCCTAGACACCGGGACGACATGAGGTGCGAATATTCATCCATATATCCCTTATTTGTAACATTAGAGTCCGACTAGATCCAATACACCATCACCGTATCGGGCAATGAGTACGCTCCGGAAACTAATCAGTCGGCTTTTTATCGGTAAAAGGATCATATTTGGGCAGTATGAATTGTTCTATCTAGTTGTGGTATTCAGATTGTTGTTAAGACACTGACAGGGATCTGACTCAGCTCATTAGCGAGGCGCTTGGAGTAGAGGAGGAAAAGGAGAGACAACGTTTTATGTATTTCGAGATA